AGAAGGCTGTCTGACTCTTTACAAGCAGCAACACGAGGGATGAGACAGTTCCTAGAAGGCTGACTGACCCTTTACAAGCAGCAACACGAGGGATGAGACAGTTCCTAGAAGGCTGGCTGACCCTTTACAAGCAGCAACACGAGGGAAGAGACAGTTCCTAGAAGGCTTGCTGACCCTTTACAAGCAGCAACACGAGGGATGAGACAGTTTCTAGAAGGGTGGCTGACCCTTTACAAGCAGCAACACGGGGGATGAGACAGTTCCAAGAAGGCTGTCTGACCCTTTACAAGCAGCAACACGAGGGATGAGACAGTTCCTAGAAGGCTGACTGACCCTTTACAAGCAGCAACACGGGGGATGAGACAGTTCCTAGAAGGCTGTCTGACCCTTTACAAGCAGCAACACGAGGGATGAGACAGTTCCTAGAAGGCTGGCTGACCCTTTACAAGCAGCAACACGAGGGAAGAGACAGTTCCTAGAAGGCTTGCTGACCCTTTACAAGCAGCAACACGAGGGATGAGACAGTTTCTAGAAGGGTGGCTGACCCTTTACAAGCAGCAACACGGGGGATGAGACAGTTCCAAGAAGGCTGTCTGACCCTTTACAAGCAGCAACACGAGGGATGAGACAGTTCCTAGAAGGCTGACTGACCCTTTACAAGCAGCAACACGGGGGATGAGACAGTTCCTAGAAGGCTGTCTGACCCTTTACAAGCAGCAACACGAGGGATGAGACAGTTCCTAGAAGGCTGGCTGAACCTTTACAAGCAGCAACACGAGGGATGAGACAGTTCCCAGAAGGCTGACTGACCCTTTACAAGCAGCAACACGAGGGATGAGACAGTTCCTAGAAGGCTGGCTGACCCTTTACAAGCAGCAACACGAGGGAAGAGACAGTTCCCAGAAGGCTGACTGACCCTTTACAAGCAGCAACACGAGGGATGAGACAGTTCCTAGAAGGCTGGCTGACCCTTTACAAGCAGCAACACGAGGGATGAGACAGTTCCTAGAAGGCTGTCTGACCCTTTACAAGCAGCAACACGAGGGATGAGACAGTTCCTAGAAGGCTGACTGACCCTTTACAAGCAGCAACACGAGGGATGAGACAGTTCCTAGAAGGCTGTCTGACCCTTTACAAGCAGCAACACGGGGGATGAGACAGTTCCAAGAAGGCTGTCTGACCCTTTACAAGCAGCAACACGAGGGATGAGACAGTTCCTAGAAGGCTGACTGACCCTTTACAAGCAGCAACACGGGGGATGAGACAGTTCCTAGAAGGCTGTCTGACCCTTTACAAGCAGCAACACGAGGGATGAGACAGTTCCTAGAAGGCTGGCTGAACCTTTACAAGCAGCAACACGAGGGATGAGACAGTTCCCAGAAGGCTGACTGACCCTTTACAAGCAGCAACACGAGGGATGAGACAGTTCCTAGAAGGCTGGCTGACCCTTTACAAGCAGCAACACGAGGGAAGAGACAGTTCCCAGAAGGCTGACTGACCCTTTACAAGCAGCAACACGAGGGATGAGACAGTTCCTAGAAGGCTTGCTGACCCTTTACAAGCAGCAACACGAGGGAAGAGACAGTTCCAAGAAGGCTTGCTGACCCTTTACAAGCAGCAACACGAGGGATGAGACAGTTTCTAGAAGGGTGGCTGACCCTTTACAAGCAGCAACACGAGGGCGATTCGATGTCTTCACGTCCTCACTTGCGTCTTATCTGCAAATTGCGGTTTGGATACCTGTCTGAAACCAAATTCTAGTCAGCTTCCAGCACCAAAATCTTTCGTGTTGGCGCCGGCGTTTATTACTGTTTTCCCCAGACCATATTAGAAGAAATACGGTATGAATAGATTCTTCTATTGATTGATTGAGTTATTTTGCACTCAGCAATGTTCCAGCTACGACGGAGGTCTGTAAATAATCGAGTTTAGACCAGACAATCTAGTGATTGACACCATGACTTGACACGCGACTTTGAAGAGGTTTTTTTATCCTAGTGTGTCGGCTTAATTATAGGAGCAAGCCCAAAGTGATGCAGGTCCTTCACACGTTTACACTAGGACGAACACGGAGATGGTACTGATACATCAAGCATCACAACAGGGCGAATCATATCATGGATTTGAACCCACGACTCTGAATAGGAGACGTCTTGACCCACTGGGCCACCCGCGTCACCCGAAGAAGAAAAAGTTTATTCGGTATCAAAGGCCGCATGGCCAAGAGTACAATGCATGAGATAAATCTTTGCACGTGGACAAGTGGGGCAACTCTTATACTGTCTAAATACAATATTTATGATACATTATACAGGCAGATTTCTTTTTAAATATATAGCAATATGTTTGATTATCTTAACATTTTTTATGCTACTAGTTGATAAACTTTTGCTCGTGATGGATACTGGTAATAATAACTTGGGATGTAGAGTTTTCTGTTTTCCATATTAAATGGACAAACTAAAAGGAAATGGTATTCATCTTCAATTATATTATGATTACATTTCTTGCACTTAAGTATATCAGTATTGACTTTGTCATTGTAACGAAAGTGTTGAATACCCAACTTATGGCTCAAACATCGGAAGATAAATAATATGCGGATAAGATCCTTGTTTGGACATAACTCCACAATATATTTCTCTGGTTCGAGTACAGACTTATATGTAGAATAATGGTTTAGAAATAATGAAGAAATAATTTTAGCATGCCAATGCTTAGAACATTGTATCAAATGTATAAAATTTGATATGCTGCCACATTACTGTGCGATCCAAACATACGTAAATCCGGTTTCTAACAGCAGCAAACGAACATGCGTTACCCAGTTGTGGCTGCCGTTTTCATCCTGTGATTTCAACATGTCATAACATGCTTTTGGGTATCGACAACCATCCACATACAACAGCCATCACCAATACTTTTTACAACGACTAAAATAATTAACACATAAGTAGGTTCTGCCTACTTCGCCTAGTACAGCGTTTGTTGATCCTTTTTATTAACACAAAAATATCGTTTAAAGCAAAAACTCTGAATTTTTTCAATATTTGCACGAGAAGTGTAACCCCAAATTTCCGAACCATATAACACAACGGAAGCTTTTTTACTGTCACATGTTGTAGATGCTACCTTTAGGAAAGTGTTTGGATAATAATAGGAAACGAAACCTTTCTGGCTTGTAGTGCTAATGTTTCACACGCTTTTGACCAAATTAATTTGGATGTGAAGACAATACAGGGATATTTATAGTGGGATACTACTTTCATATGTTTACCATCATAAGTCCATTTTTCAGAATTTCTTAGGTATCCGCCATTTCTGAAAACAACAATACAGGTCTTCTCCAGGTTAACTTCTAGGCCCCATTTGTTACAATAACCTTTTAACACATCAAGTTTTCTTTGTAGGTCTATTACACTGTCATCAATCAATGTTAGGTCATCAGTAAATAATTGCACTATGATATCGTTTAGTCCTTCTCTATCAAAAACACCTCTCAATCCGCATTTCTTCATTTCATCTACAAGCTCATTTATAAAAATATAAATAAAACAGGACTCAACATACATCCCTGGCGTACTCCACACTGTGTTGTAAATATTTCAGTTTTCGAATGTCCGATTCTAACACAAGCTGCGACCTTGTCATACATATCTTTTAGAATTCTAAACATTTTCCCATGTCCACCTTTCATGAGAAGTACATACAATAGCTTATTTCTGTCAACAAAGTCAAATGCTTTACGAAAATCTATGAAAGCTGTATAGAATCTGTGTTTTGGTTTTCTCAAATACTTTTGACATACAGATTGTAGGACAAATACATTATCAATTGTAGAATAGTCGTGTCTAAAACGTGCTTGACAATCATGTAATACTTTTTGAACCCGACTTATAATAGCAATGAGGCAGCAACAGAAACAAAGGTGACTGTCAGTTATTATGCTAACTGATGGCTCTGGTGAAACATACGAGCACGGGTATGGTGCTGTCAAACAAAGAATCATAATCCTGATCCTGCGACAATCGGATTCTGGTAAGAAAAAGGGACACCAACCTGTTCAGCAAAAAAACGGCTCCTAAGATAGTCTCACCAAACCAAAAGAAAGTGCGTGCGATTCTGGTGAATTATTCATGAACGACTCGTTTTTGTGAAACCTGTGTTTTGACATAGGGTTACACCAGTACTGCTGCCCCGAACCTGTATACCACGGAGTAGAATATGATCTGATCAGCCCACTATGTATCTCGACTTTTTTATGCTGCCCATGTTCGGTTATTGCAGTAAGTGATTTTACGCTATTCTATTATCATTAAGATTTTAATTTAAGGAAATAATAAATTTCCCTTCCGAACCGGTGCCAATCGCTTGACTGTCAATCTTGAAGAATTCCAATTGGGCCAGGTTTTGTTTTTATGGTTTAAGGAATTAGATTGTAGAATAAAATTGTTAGGTTGGTCGAAAAAGAAGAAATATATAAATTTTATAATCCAGTGTACGGAATTTGTTTTTTAGTCAGAAAAATCCCTTGGGTTATTTTTATTGTCAAAGCGGTCTTTATCGTCGGCCGTATAAAATTCCCTTGTCATCCTGATTTCATCGTTATTCTGAATTTTCGATTTTAAGGTCCTATAAAGTATGCAAACGATATGTAAAACCTCATGATTAGACGAGGATTAAACGACACCTTCATGATCTTGATTCACTGGACGAACCCCCTTACAGATAACAGTACATGTATGTACGTATGTGTGGACTTCGTGACTGTCATTAGAGATTTCTTTTTGCACACGGGATTTTACTGTGCATCATCAATCTCTCAGTAAACGATGCATTATGAGACCAAATAATTGAGGTACGTACAAATCTATCTTGTTACTAATTCTTGCAGGTGAGACGAATTCACTTAATAACCATTGTGTTGGTTTTACGACCCACACGTGTATATGACGTCATCGATTTGTGTGCAGATCGATATTCACGTCTTCAACCCGAGAGGTAGCAGACGACAGCGCGTGTTGTTTTGATTAATAACAGTATGCGATTCTCCTGGCGTGGTAAAATGGATACCTGATACTAGCTTCGTGACAACTTATAGGGGAGACAGACCTTACAATGTCTCGGATGCATTCAACAGCGAGGGAGGTTCTTCTCGAAAGCGGCGAGTTAATGTCTAGCTGGGATTTCACGTTGAAGGTATTCGAACTGTTGTTTTGTTTTCAAATGAATAAAAGCAACTTGAATAATTCTTGTCTGTAGGCAGTCATTTGGGAATTTTGTTGAATTCTGATTAGAAAAATGTATTTTATGACCGGGAACTCAAAGACTTATTCGTAATTATAGTTTTGATATTTTGTCTTTACTATCATAAGCTAAATGGTGTGAGTGACTATCTATCATAAGCTAACTGGTGTGACTATCTATATCTATATAATCTATATAATCTGAATTGTGTATAAGTTAATTCCCTATTTTGACTTGTACGACATGTTCCCGTGTTTTTGGGGTGAATAATTCATTTCCCTTTACGTGTGTTTGCATCGGACGACACCGGTAGGGCAGGATACGCTCGCCTTTTCGCGAACAGTGGTATCCTCAACAATTCGATAGTGATTCATAAACACATGCTAGCGATACAGTTGAAAACGTACAATCGACTCTGCTTTTAGAAGAGATTTCTTGTGGCCAGGAAAATGGGTTTGCCGCTTATATTATGAATGTGTTTTTTGAGTCGGGTCGATGAACGTCATTAAACATAGCTTCTTTATCAAATCGGATACGATTTTTTGATAGAACGGTCATTGAAGTTGATGTTCAAACACGACATTAAACCAAACAAATTGTATTTGCCAGATACCAAATCGGTTCACCTTGTAATGGGAAATAACAATCAGTTCTAAAACACTCAGCCCCGAAAACTATAGAAGCATATTTGCAACAACATTTGGTGCATTACTCTGACGATGTGGGTGTGTTAGGTAGGATCGATGTTATTGACAGCCTAGATACTTGTAATTGACAATACTGAAGTTATTGGGTTTCACTGGTACCTGGTCTATTGGCAGGCTTCCCACTGAGGGACGGTATCCGTTAATGCTTTCACAGCACAATCAAGCATGGACGGATAATGACGACTCTTCCTCGTGTGGTAAGTAAACAGGAAACTTTAAGATCTTGATCTTATTCATACTCGATATTATTTGATAGGATTTCTGATGACATGATGAAGATGTTCGTGAACAGATAAGCTTCAACCAAATCCTGTGGCGACTGGCATAGCGTATGCATCAGTACCCCGGGCAAAGACGGTACAGCGGTATAAGGCACCGCAATTCTATGTGTAGAGCTGCGCCCAATATGTACGTGCCTCCTTCATATAGCTGGAATATTTCTGAGTGAGGCGTTAAACAACAAACACATTGTTACCCGTGTAACAGGTCTATAAGACGCCATGAGTTATTGGCGACACCTGGTGATCAGAAGACAAGATCATGTATGTTACAATGCACGGTGTACGTAGGGTGGGGCATATAACACTGAACTACAGGTGGTATCGATATATCTATAAAGAGAGCCAAAAACATTTATATTCCGAACCAGTAATATATGTCATCTTCTTATCGCTTTGGAAACATGTCTCGGCATATATCAAAAACACGACTTATGAATAATATGCTTAGAATATCAATAATACACACAGAGAATATTTGGCTAATATTGTCAAATGTTTATCTCATCATCGTGTTGTGTCACGACATAAGATAAACTAGCTATTTGACAAGAAAATCCGAAAGTTATGCTGCTGTTATTTTCTTTACGATGGTATCAGCGCGACACAGGCTAAGGTTGTTTCGGCATTAACTGGGATGTCACAAGCACTATCGATTATATATAATTAAATAAAGACAATTTTCTATTTATTGTTCAACTCGGCACTCAGCAACACTCCAACTATATGACGCATGTCTGTAAATAATCGAATCTGGGCCAGATAACCCTGTGATTGACATCATGAGCATCGATGTACGCAATTGGGATACGATTGCATGCATCAACCAAATCACTGAGCTTGACCACCCGATCCCGTTAGACGCATGGGTTGCTGAAGGTCAATTCTAACCCGCATCTTCACGGGTCCTAAAGCAAAATAAACTGCGTTTTGTTAAAATAACATTGTACTCGAGCTCTGAGGAATTTAATACTGAAACAAGCACCTGACGTCTCTATAAGCACTTACTATAACATTATCACGTGGATGATATGCACAGCAACGTCTCATTGTTCTTCTTGAAGTAAACGCCTCACATTTAAACACAGCAGTAATCAACACAGATACCGTTAGTTGGAATATTTAGACTTAGTAAACATACAATATTACAGAATAATGGGTACAACGGCATTCAATATAGAAAAAAATGCTTCATGTCAGCAAACTACAAACACGAGTAAATGTGTGAATTCCGTGTTTTGTCAATTGCCAAACACTTACTGCTCTTCTTCGGGGTATATCTGAAATTTAACATGCAATCCTTTAGTTTCTCCAACAGTATTTATATTGACAAAACACCCTTGTAGTTCAAGATTAGATACTAACTAATAAGACTTAAGTGGGAAATAATGTCGTGATTCTCAAACGACACGATTCATTCAATCACGTAAAAGTACCGATTCAAATATAAATACAAGTAACCAATAAATCGATAGACAGAAAATACAGTTCCATGCCTGTTGCGTACTGATGTAGGAATCCCAGTGTAAATAATGAAGTCCTCGGCGGCGCGATCGGCGTACAGTTGCAAGCTGATTGTAAAGGTAGAACAGCAGTTCAAGGAAGCCCTTCGAGCAACAGTGAAAGGGATATCAGCTGAGAAACGTTTCAGCGTTTTCAGTTTATTCACAAAGGAGCAAAAGAAACGTTACCAACCAACACTGTTTGTTCTTAAAACCAGGACAGGAACAATATGAAGGAAGATACCTGCATTGTCAAAAGACATAAAGGCTGTAGGCAGTGCCGAGTGTTGCAAAAAGCTATTAATTTACAAAGGCATGCCTTAGGAAAGCATATTGAAAAACTCAGAACTAACTGAAACATTTTGAAAGTATCTGAATTAGCACCGCTATGATTAAACACAGCAGCGGCGTAACTAGAATTCTTCATATCATAAACAGATATACCCAAAGCACAATATATGACCCGAAATAGATATTTATATTGTTCAAACACCAAATACATACACTATTATCCGCGGCCACTCATATAGACACAAATTAGACCGTGCTAAAACCTCGGTAGGAATTAAGTCTGAAGTCAGATTAATTCTTGTGTATTTCAGAAATGAAAATGGGGTGAGTGGTATCAACTTAATAGACAAAAGTGTATCTTAGCATTCTATAGATCGAGAAAGACGTCATTGAATTCACCCACCCTGTGCACTATTTGTACTCTGAATATCATATCCATGCGCGGTGTATTTCACGAAAGCCAATATTCCCGTATTATTCATGCCATATTAACAATAATTTCCTAAAGTAGAATATAAGAGATAATCGATGTCATAGTGAAACTCTTGATTGGAAACGACATAACTGTTATCATTAATCATAGTGCCAACCTTTCAAATCGTAGTTATTTAGGGGGTTGCACTAAGGGGAATGGCCCCCACCGTAAACAATGAATGTGGTGTTAGCGGAAGTAGGTGAGGGGTGGCCCAGCTTAGGAGTTGGATTCATGATTGTAATTAGCTGATGACGGGGAGGGTGATTGAAAGAACTCCCAACCCATACATGAAGCTAACTCAATATTTTGTTTTATGTTTTGTATTTACCGTTTGTTTAGTTGCCAAGAAATGTTATAGTAGGCACTTCAGAGTGAACGGGTTTGGCTTATAAAGGAGACTCGAAAAACTCGTCAGTCCTGTCCATTGTGCACAGTTTATATGTTAAAACCGCCGTGTTACCTAAATGGAAAACTGTACGGAGCGTATTAAGTAGTTGCTCTCAGGTGACCTCATTTACATATTTATCAGATTGGGATACCAATTTTATCGAATTGATTTATAGCATCAAAACATTATGAAAAAATTGATTATCTGTTTTTCTTTAGATGATCAAGAATATGAACCGAAGGGTTACAGTCAGAAGAATTCGAACAGAAAGGACAAGCTGATGTGAAGAAAAGATTTTTGTGAAGTTTTATGACAAACGCTTACGCTATGGAGGAGGAGGGGGAGTTTCATGTTGCTTTTGTGGTCGTGGCATCAATAATATTAATATCAGAATTTCTGTTTGGACTTGTGTTCAATATTGTTGTACTTGTTATCAGTCTTAAATCCTTGAAAAACGCTGATGAGCGCGGTAACACGTTCATATCGAATCTGAACGTCGTCGACGTGGTGATATGTCTGACAGCTGTTCCCATGACGTTGACAATGGTTCTGACGTCCCGCTTCAAGGATGCTCTGTTTTGTTTCTTCATGGAGGGTATAATATCGCTGGTGTGTGTGGCAAGCTCTATGACATTGCTGATGATTTGTCTCGACCGGTATTATGCTGTCGTGACGCCCACGAAACGACAGGTCTTCACAACGAAAGTCACAATCGTCATGGCCCTCATATGGAGTCTGGCCTTCTTCGCATTCTGTACGCCATTTATCGGCTTTGACCAATCAACGATCAACAGTCTGAGTACAAATAAGTCTTTAAGCTGCAACCAACTTATGTCTTCCTTGGGGCCATATTATTTCTACGAATTGTTTTACGTCTTAACTTTTGCCATCACAACTATCGGGATGATCATGTTTTTCGTCGCCATCTTACGCGTTGCTCGGAAACGGGTCGCCATTCAGGCTGCCGTTGTTGCGGTATCGTTATCAAGTCAGGACCAGTCTAGACGGGAATTTGCTCGTGATCAGGAACGGAAAATACTACGCATGTCACTGGTGATTGTCGTGACGTTTATGTGTTTATGGGGTCCTCACGTGGCCGTCACTGTGGTTGAGATGACCATGGAAGGGGACTTAAATCTGGAAACTGCCCAGTTGTGTTGTCAGGTGGTTGCATACTTGACCACCATTGCCCATCCTCTACTGTACGCCTTCATGCGTAAGAAGGTCAGGAAGGCGTTGCTCCAGAAGTTGACGCGGGAAGCCACCATTGTCCCAAGTACAAGTTGAAGAACCATAATCACCGAGATAAACTTACTGCTTGACGAACCTTGCGGTTATTTGTCAATACTAAGATTTTCAAAGCCTGTGATATACCATCATGAACACACACTCAACCAAATCAGTATCATGAACTACGGCACCAAAGAGTTCAAGCCCCGCAGATGCCAACCGTTGTAGCGGAAAGTAATTTAAACGTCTTTAACTTGACTTACTGACATGTGGACTCGGGAATTATGAAATGATCGTGATTAACCTAACGGTAATAAGCTACGTACATATAGATTATATGAAAATGAACCATCAACAAGTGATTACGTGCGGTCTGTCCAATATCGGGACCATCGCCGAGTGCTATCTACATTTAGATTCGGTAGCTTCCCCTTAGCGATGGAGACAGGCAGAATTTCCAAGCCACCTATACCTCTAAACGACAGAGTATGCAAGTTCTACACGGAAATTAAACAACATACTGTGATAGAGGATGAAGCCCACTTTTAAACTGACTGCTACTTTTATTCTGATCTACGTTACAAGCGTGTGTGTGTATGTGCGTGCTTGCGTGCTTGCGTGCGTACATACGCGCGTGCGTCTGTGTTTACATCTAATCATTTTCTACCAGGCATACATGTTTCCCATATGCCAGTATGGCTGGGCATTACACTGTTATCCGTATGTAACATTGTAATTTTATTGTTGTGAGTTTAATGCGAGACACAGAAAAACACTATTTATCTCTCTTATCTCTCTCTGTATCAGAGAGTATATACATAATGATGAGTGTATTTACTCCGAGTCCAATATTACAAACAAATAATAATCCGTTTTAAAAGTTTCGTTTACGATGTTGGCTGTGTATACCTGAACTTGACTGAATTCACAACCTGCCAAAGTAGTTTTTCATAAAGTATTGACTTGACAATTATTTTTGTCTTTATTTATGAATATGCTACCTGTGATACAACTGACTTCATGCGTAACATTCCGACAAGACATAACAATGACATATGTCGGAGACGTGTAATGTGGGTACTGTTATATAGAACACTGCTAATATAGCATTTAGTTGACCTACATTTTATGATAACTCTTAGACATCTAATTTCGCTTTTGTTGGGGTTCTAATGAACTGTTGCTCTGATCTTCAGAGATTTCATTGTATGATACCAGAACATCGTTCCCCGGGAGCTTAGCTGAGCGCGAAGCTGCCGGCTATGTGATAACGCCGATGGATGTATTAGAGATCCTTTATCTGGCATTGATGAATCCATTTCTGTTGTACTTTGTAATAACGAATAAATGTCGGCAGTCCTTTGATGCGTTAAAACAGCGTTCTGTCCTTCAATTAAATATAATGATAAGATTTTCAGCGTGCTGTGATACGACAGATTGATAATTCCGACTGAAACGCCACAATGTTTTTTCTGGCGTGGTGATTGTGCTACATGACTAGCGATGTTTCAAGTCAAGCAAGTCATAAGTCGGATTTAAAGCTTATTTCAATACTGACCATATTCAAAGACATATTGATATATAGCAGTCCGTTCAAAACGTTAAATCAGTTTGAAGGTAAGAGAAATAGTTTAGTTAAGGCTTCTCAGATTCGATTTAATGACAATCGTTAGCTCCAAATATATCCTGAACATAGTGAGTGAGTGAGTATGGTTTTATGCCGCTTTTAGCAATTTTCTGAATAATTCTGTATTATGTTCATTTCTTTCGCCGTGTGGGTTTGGCTTTACACCACAGTAATATATGGCGGTCCGGAAATAATCGAGTCTGGACCAGGATATCAGTAGATGATGGCAGGAGCACGATATCACACAATCAGTAGGTGATATAACAACCGTCCGTTCCCCTGTATCAGTCCGTTCTTTCGACAAACATGCATAGGCAGTCTTCACCCCGGAATCTTTAGTGGGGGCATGGGTGGCCCAGTGGTGTTTAGCTCCGCAACTCGCTGCAGAGATTAATTGGTGGGTTTGAATCTTGCATCAGATTATGATCGATGGTCTCCTAGCATCATACCACTGCTCGCCTATGCCTCTTTCAAAATAATAATCTCACATGTGATATGACAGAAATGCTCACACGTCAAAAAACAGGGTCATGAAGATGACATTAAGGTGTTGATGCAGTTTTTAAGAAGATCATAGGGTTGCCGTCAATGCCAGGATTTATTTCTCGATCGTGCGTCGGTGATCATCAGAAATATATCAGGTAAATGCCATGCTGTTGCAAACACATGTGCAAACATCGCCCTGATATACGGAGTGCTATTGTCACCAGGTAAGAAATGTATCGCTTTTGAAGCCGCCCAAGCATCCTTGCTGCTGTTATAGCGACCAATACAAGTACTTCTCAGCATTATACAATATAATTGTTAAATGATAAACATGGTGCCGTGGCAAGTGAGGGAAACTGCAGATGAAATAAGGATAATGCAGCTACGAGTATCTAATTGCTCAAGGATTTGCAGTTCCACATCTACCTGTAGACGATAATTTCATGGTTTATATAACCTGAAATAGTTACACAGATAATTACACAAAATTTGCAGGAAAAAAAGTCTATATATGCAATCAGACCTATCAATGAATAAGGTATTTTTAAGGTAAATAATAGATAGCAAATTATTGCATTACTTAGAAGCCCTAGCGAGATGGCAGCTGTGTCTTCCCTATTACGATCTCCTTCGTGACGAAAGAAATAACCTCGTTTGTCCCGACATGAAATCTCGGTAAATATTTCATACAATTAGGAAATTGAGGGGGATAATTGTCGAAGCACGAATGCGTCATATGGTGAATAAGACAGGCGTGTTCATGAGTGGACGAGTGGGGTGTTTAAGCGCAACAAACATTCAGAAAGGTCACGATGGTAAGTCGGTCTTCTGTTTGTTCTCTTCAAACCACGTATTCTTCAGTGATATATTAAACATGTTCGAAACGTACATACGAAGTAATTCTCTTCTACTACGTTCTCATAAATCTGGCAAAATGTTCCGTACTTTAGTAAAATAACTTTTTTAATTGAATTTAGGAATTTGAAGGTAGCAACAACCTCAATTCCTTAATTGACATTACAAATGGTGTCCAAACTTAGCAGAATAAATGCCAGTCACCTATATTTCTATCCCTGCCTCATCATTATTAGTCGGTTGCCATGGGTGACCGAGTATTTCGGGACGTCTCCTATGCAGAGTATGCATCTCGAAGCCGTGTCAAGTCGTGGGTTCACGTCCATGATTCGCCCTGCTATGATGCTTGATCTCTCCGCACCATCTCCGTGTTCGGGCGACTCGTCCTGTGCTTGATCTCTCCGCACCATCTCCGTGTTCGGGCGACCCGTCCTGTTATGATGCTTGATCTCTCAGCACCATCTCCGTGTTCGGGCGACTCGTCCTGTGCTTGATCTATCCGCACCATCTCCGTGTTCGGGCGACCCGTCCTGTTATGATGCTTGATCTCTCCGCACCATCTCCGTGTTCGGGCGACTCGTCCTGTGCTTGATCTCTCCGCACCATCTCCGTGTTCGGGCGACCCGTCCTGTTATGATGCTTGATCTCTCCGCACCATCTCCGTGTTCGGGCGACTCGTCCTGTGCTTGATCTCTCCGCACCATCTCCGTGTTCGGGCGACTCGTCCAGTGCTTGATCTCCCCTCACCATCTCCGTGTTCGGGCGACCCGTCCTGTTATGATGCTTGATCTCTCCGCACCATCTCCGTGTTCGGGCGACTCGTCCTGTTATGATGCTTGATCTCCCCTCACCATCTCCGTGTTCGGGCGACTCGTCCTGTGCTTGATCTCCCCTCACCATCTCCGTGTTCGGGCGACTCGTCCTGTACTTGATCTCCCCTCACCATCTCCGTGTTCGGGCGACTCGTCCTGTGCTTGATCTCCCCTCACCATCTCCGTGTTCGGGCGACTCGTCCTGTGCTTGATCTCCCCTCACCATCTCCGTGTTCGGGCGACTCGTCCTGTTATGATGCTTGATCTCCCCTCACCATCTCCGTGTTCGGGCGACTCGTCCTGTTATGATGCTTGATCTCTCCGCACCATCTCCGTGTTCGGGCGACTCGTCCTGTGCTTGATCTCCCCTCACCATCTCCGTGTTCGGGCGACTCGTCCTGTTATGATGCTTGATCTCTCCGCACCATCTCCGTGTTCGGGCGACTCGTCCTGTGCTTGATCTCCCCTCACCATCTCCGTGTTCGGGCGACTCGTCCTGTTATGATGCTTGATCTCCCCTCACCATCTCCGTGTTCGGGCGACTCGTCTTGTGCTTGATATCCCCTCACCATCTCCGTGTTCGGGCGACCCGTCCTGTTATGATGCTTGATCTCCCCTCACCATCTCCGTGTTCGGGCGACTCGTCCTGTTATGATGCTTGATCTCCCCTCACCATCTCCGTGTTCGGGCGACTCGTCCTGTGCTTGATCTCTCCGCACCATCTCCGTGTTCGGGCGACTCGTCCTGTTATGATGCTTGATCTCTCTGCACCAGCTCCGTGTTCGGGCGACTCGTCCTGTGCTTGATCTCTCTGCACCATCTCCGTGTTCGGGCGACTCGTCCTGTGCTTGATCTCTCTGCACCAGCTCCGTGTTCGGGCGACTCGTCCTGTGCTTGATCTCTCTGCACCAGCTCCGTGTTCGGGCGACTCGTCCTGTGCTTGATCTCTCTGCACCAGCTCCGTGTTCGGGCGACTCGTCCTGTGCTTCATCTCTCCGCACCAGCTCCGTGTTCGGGCGACCCGTCCTTACGTAAACGTGTGTAGGACCTGCATCACTTTGACCTTGCCTCTCACATTAAGTCGACTACAAGCCGACTGAAATACTGTTTAGTGCTGCTTGAACCGAAATCATTCACTCATAATTATTATGAGTTACTTTTGTCGCCGCAATGAAGTCTTTAATATTACATTTGTTCTTGTCAAGATATCACACGCCGAATAATGGCAGATAATGCGCATGTGTTCTGGTACAAACGCAATACCTATCCTATACATCCGCAGTCTGGGTGGTGCGCGAAGGTTTATCAATGACAAAACACGTCACTGTATGAAACACAATCCATGAGAAAACAGCTGGATAAAAACGTGTTTTCTTGGCATTCTAGAATTTCTGGTATTTCTGGTAAATGAACACCATCGCCATTAGTCAAAGGGGCGCGCGCGCACCGCAGTCTACTGACACCGAGCCGACCAGTTGCCCTTAATGCCGAGCACCAGGGAGGGTGACAAGTACCACCTTTACCGTATTTTGGTATGACGTGGCCAGGGGATCGAACCACGGACCTTCCGCTCTCCGAGCAGATGCTCTGTCCACACTTATGAAGATAATATGCATTAATATCTACCCTACATCAATGAATCTTAAATGCCTACTTAATGTTTAGTTAATTCCACCTTATTAGCCATATACAATATCAACAACACGTCGATCACTGACGCATCGATCCGATAACCCTAAGATTTGTAGACTCTTTCCATTGTTCCTGATAACCTCAACACAAGGACAAAAGACTACGACATTATATAGCCATATATATCGATGCTATCGATTTCCTCGCAGTCCATTGGTCGCCACAGTCAGGTAAAACCAGATAAACTCCTTTCCTCGCCCCAGTCTCCCCAGCGTTGTTAGTTAATCAATAGTCAGTTTCCAAATTCCCTTGGGTGAGAGATACATGAAAACAATGGACTCTGCAGCTAGGGATGTTGATTAATGAGCAAAACATTATTCCGCATGTGCCGATTTATACTAACACGCATGCAGGTCTTGAGAAAATCTTCTGTTTGTGACGTCTGCAGACGCGTTGCTTCTGAATCTTTGGTCTTGCTCACGTTCGCAAGGTACACGTAATGTAATTCATTGCGTCTTGTCAGCCGTGCTTGAAATTTCTTCAGATTTTCAGATGTAAGAAAATAATTACTCCTCGGTAGGTAATTTGGTCCCATATACATTATCAGGCCATCTAATTATGTGCATGTTGATGATGTGTAGACTTGTATGCAGTGAGTGAGTGAGCTAGGTTTAACGCTGCCTTGATTAGTATTCCAGTTATATTCTTAAAAATGCAGGGGATACCCGGAAATGACTTAAAATTTTCAAAATTGTAAGAGATATTAGTTCATAGTAATAGTTGTATGATAATAATGAACGAATTGGAAACACA